ATATATATATAATTACCGTTTTCTTATTTAACAATATTGTTTGATAAGGTTAAGTAAACATAGAAGATGATTCTTATATGAAGTGGTATTTGAAATTCACCGCGTGTTTATACGCGCACGTGCCTGCCGCGCCGATAGCGCAATATGGCGTTCCTGCTATTCAATAAAATTTTCTACAGGCGCTATTTATATTTTATTTTTAACCTTAGGAATATATATTGGATTATTCTATAAATCTGTAAAATTATAGATTTTTATTAAAAATATACCTCATATTTCAGCAGCCAATGTTTTTAACCATAGCTGCCCTCTAAACTATGTGTAATTTCAAGTGTTATTTTTAGATAAATATTAAGAAAATAAAATGTCATACGATGAATCAAAACAATTAAAATGCACTTTAGATATATGAGCGATTGCTGTTTGGGGTGTGTAGACAGTCGCGCAAAGAGCGGACGCTTCGGACCGTTCTGCAACTAGGACGCGGTCGTAATACTTAAGTTATAACCTAAAGCGATTTTATTGGTGGTCTTAGTTCGCACTCAGAGGCTTTAATTGGCCATTAAAGTGAACTTATAGTATCTGAGTGATCAGTGTCTATTTTTATTTTTTTTTCTCTTTACTTACAATATTTACTAGTGTGGGGTTGCGTAAACTATAACCCTTTACTACTACCGTGGATTCCCGCTAACTGTTATGCCTTGGACCGTGGCTACTCTCCGCATTTCAAACTTGTCTCAAAGCGTCACGTCAACCGCTGCCACGTGACTGTCGTGTCACCATGATATTGTCATTTACAGAACATTTAATTCGGACGGATAGATATGGAATATAATGCAAGAAAAATACAATTAGAAAAACTGTCCGGTTTTTTGATAAGTAAAGAATACTCAATCTAACCTAAAGGGGTAACGAGAGAATGCATGTATGTTTTCGGTTAAATCGACTAAAACGTTTTCACGCATTTTTGTGATAAACACTTAGGGTAAGTTGCACCATATCGCCGGTTACCGTTAAAGTTAAAATTATTTGTAACGGTAATATTTGGAATAACCTTAAAATTTACTAAGGGTGAGTTACATTAACTAACTATAAACCTTAGCCAGCACATTCCCGATGGTTACGTCTACGGATGTTCATGATATTCGCTACACCAGTTTTGCGCTGGTCAAAATGACGTCATATTTGACACTAATCATAACCGCCCGATTTTGGGCGTGTGATACATAAATATATACGGCGAAACATGAATTTCCAAACATTTTAATTTACGTAAATGTCATTCTTGACACCAATTTGACACTTTTGTGACATTCAGGTTTAAATGTTTCCATTGTAAAAACGAAAAACACATAAAACCTCTGTGAGAATATGTTTTTGCACTTGTAACCCTATTAACTACAACTATAACTTTTACGATAACCGGCGATTCGATGCAACTCACCCTAAAATACACATTTTGACATTCTCCTTTTTTATATGATAAAGGTGGCAAACGTGCAAGCGGCTACCTGAACGTCAGAAAAGCGAAGCCACCGCTGCCCATAAACATCAGCAATTGCAGATGTATTGCCAACTTAAAAAAAAAAACACATTTTAATAAAACAATTTTAAAGTCCTAAGATATCTGAATGAACGTGTGGAAACTCTAATGATTTTGCCATTAAAAGTTAAACTTGTGGTTTATTAAAACAAGTTTCAATAGAGGCTCACAGATCCTTAAGAAATATTAATTTCGTTGCGGCACGTGGACGGTTTCAGAAGATTTATTTTTATACGGTACGAATAGAGCTTTCTGGAAAATTAATTAAATATTACGTAATGTTTCCTTTCAACTTTGATCACGTGCTCTTCTAACGTTTTAAATGAATCCTTACGATTTCACTTTGGGGAAAGTTTTAATATTTCGTATCAAGAAATTTGTAAGAAGGAGCAATTTATTGAAGGAACTGTTTTTTTTGCAAACTTCATACATACGTGATATTAAAAACGCAACATTTGGGATAAATAATTGTTTGTTATTTAACTACAAAAGTGTTATTAGTGTTTTAAAATAGCGCCCTCTATCGTCTTCTCCCAGAATACCTTCTCCGCTTTTAATCAATAAAAATAATTAACACCATAATTTTCTTATAAAGTGCGATATACAGTCAATGTGACCTTTGCTCACATTAACGTGGACTTCCACTGCGGTAACACATGTTCATATCTCTTTCATTAACATTGAGAAAACAGGGACAACAATAAATTTAAATACGGGTATTATGACTGTAGAAGTGTAGGTTTATTATTTAAATTTTATGATTCTAGAATGTTCTAATTCCAATCATTACGGTTCACTGGTCTTTGTTATGTTGCTCTTATCACTATTGACACCTCAGACGACCGTCTTTCGTATTGGCGTCACTTAATATGTATTTATTTCATACAAGGTGACTTTCACAGAATTAACCTTTCGCAAGCCTTCGCTTCATGTATATCAATAATAAATCTATCTCATTAAATACAGTATGGTCACGGTATTAACATTACCGGCGCCCTGGGCGATATCTACGGCGCCCTATAACTGCAATACAAACCATACGAAAATGTCCGTGACGCCCTTTTTTGATTGTCCTGGGCTGTCAATCACCTCGCCCTAGCCCGACGCTATTGATTATGGACATAGATTAAAAAAATTTCCGATGTCTGTTTAGTGTTGGTCGATCAATTTTTCAGTACTTGACTTATTGGTCGTAATTCTACGTAATTCATAGATAACCGTCTTTCTCCATATTACCTTACACATCAGTATGAGTTACTTATTAAAAAAAATACAGATGAATTAAGTACCTCCTTTTCTTGAAAAGTCGGTAAAAAAGCAAAAAAATTATGTACCCAATTCGAAATTGAGAAAGGAGTGACGAATGATAAACGACGTTTTAGAAGACGAAAGCCTGTTGCGCTCAGCTCTCACGGAGAGTAGAATATGACATGAAAAAATAAGGACCGAGTATCGAGCACCCTGTATTTAACGAAAGAGCTATGGAAAATTTTATCCGTAGATGATTTAGTTCTATTTTTAACAATCGTTACCTGGGATAGGTGGGCGCTAGGGGGTGCTGGGGAGCTGGGCTGATTGCAGGTAGTTATGTCCTTTAGCGATGAGTGTAGTTAGGGCGGGGCGGCGATAGATTGAAGCAGGCGGGCGTACATTGCCTCTTTACACAAAACTTTATTTGTCAACATTTTTAAACATTTGTAAACAATTGTGTCTTTTGAAAACGTAACTTATACTCATCAAGTATATTTTGTGACGGTTGATTATGCAGTTATAATCGTAAATTGGTACAGCCATCTTCTTTAATGTAATTTTTTTAAGAAACGAGCAAAAGTGTAGCATAATTTTTACATTTCATATTCGCAAAAGCATTTGAAAATAGAACGATTAAAAAACAAGCAATGTATACGTGCACGTAAAAGCCTTTCCCTGTATTCCTGGTACAGCTCCAGGCTCCCGGGCCGGAGGCTGCGCGATCTCTCGATCAATAGAGCCTCGCCCCCACCCCGCGCATCCCCCGCGCCACCCCGCACACCCCTCCCGGGCTAGTTCAGCACCCGCCGCCGACAGCTACGCATAAACGCACCAGTTCCTTTTAATTTATTTATAAAAACAGTAATAAATTAATTTACTGCGTTTATAAGGCGACGTTAAACCGCGAACACTCCAGAACCTTGCTGGAGATGGGATTTTGAAGAAGGTAAGTGGTTTTTTTGTATTGATTTACTGGTTGCGGATAATCTGAGCTTCAAATAGATATCAATCGATTAAGTGCACAGGACATCTTGTCTTAGATATCACAAAAAACGTAAACCTTTATAAGATAATGAGTGTTGTTGAAAATTAAAAATTAACTAACTATTTTTTTCATTGTGTAAAAAAGATTTATCAAATTTCATTAATCGATTGTATTTGTATTTATTTGCTCTGTTATCATTGTTATATGTTTTCAATCCGTCAATTGACCTTTGTGTTAGCCTTGAGGTCTATTTGTAAAAACGTCAACCTCTTTAGAGGTCTGAAATCATTACAGATGTGGAAGGTTAAACGTTGCTTTTGAAATATGATGAAAAGCAAATAACTTATTTTGTACAGCTTTACTTAGATACAGTGTGTGTTTTAATTGGTTTTGTGTGTTACAAAATAAAACAAGAAAAATGTAATTTTTATCTTCTTGTCCAAAATATTGTTAATTCTTAATATATTTCTTATCCAGTTTCTGGAAACTTCTACACTAATACCTTTCAACAATTAAAAACATTTTCTAATTTCTTTCTCTTTGAAAAAACACAACCATTTGCGGTGGCATTTTTCAGTGCTAGATAATTGTGGTACTCGAGAATTAAATATTTTCTATCTTATTGCTTTGTTTGTTTTGTAAAACTGGCCAGGATGTTAGACTGATAGGGTGCCGCCCTTATCTCAAATCATTTAAGTCCGCGGCGCACGGAGCATGCGCACAGTAAATGTCAAGTGTTAAGGCTAGCTTACAGTGAACATTGTTCCCGAATTATCTGGGATCCACAAATATCAGATATGAATCTAAATAACGGGAATATTGCTGAATAAATTATATAATAAGGGGTTTATATAATTAGTAACATTTTAAAAGTCTACGTGAAAAAAGTTTTTACATTAAAAATAATGTAGACTAGATCTACATTCTTTTTAATCTACACACTTCGTAACGTATTCTTGAAGACAATGCGATCCAAAATATTATTTTAATTAAAGTTCCATTGTCTGCGCGTTATTTTACAGTTCTCCGTTTCATGCAGATCTTTTACATTTTGACGTCACATTATAATGGAATCTTTTCTTAAAACATTGTTTTTTATACGGCCTAGAAATGTAAATCAATCGTACAACTCAGTTTCTCTAATAACTTTCATCTTTTAAATTAAAATTAAGGATTAAATAAATCATTAATTCAAATAACTTTATTTTTATTATTTCGGAGGAACTAAAAAGAAACATTTCTTTATCTTACATGCGAAGATGTGAAAAATATTAAAATTATATAAAACAATGGCTTTGCGTTATATCAGCATGTTTTTCTTTGTCTCTTGGTGGCGCGGGAAAAGTCAAAAAGCGCGCGATACTCCTGTCAATTTGACAGCTACGTTTTCCATCGGTCAAAGGTAACAACGCATTCAGCCGCGCAGCTGCAATGACCCGTAGCTTCGCGTTTGAGCCGCTCACTCTATAGCTCAGTCGCTCTCTGGTCGTCTGCGAAAGCGGTCCCGGTTCACATAAATAATTTAAATTGAATCACGTAGACATTAATATAGTTTTCTGAGTGAGACATTTAAGTGTATAAATTAATTTTCAGTGAAGTCTAAATGCATTTGGCAAGCGTTCTGTGCGTTTGTTATTTATAAGTCATGTTTTAGGACAGTGATAGTACTTTTGAATTACGCGCGCGCATTCTTAGCATATTTCCTGAAAGTTTATATAAAAGGTATGCTGTCAAGTTTAAATGATTAGTTTATTTGGAATATCTTTTTATTATTTGTTAAATTAATTTTAGAAACATACGAATAGCTTAATATTATTTGTTTTAATTAAGAGAAAATTAATAATTTCGATATTTTTTTTGGACAAATAGGTATAATAAAAGATAACAAAACCATAAATAAAAATGTAACAAAAAAATTGATATTTTGGTATTAGAGTTTTGCGCGTTTATGTTTTAAAAAGTATCCTATTATGAACAGAATTATTAAACATATCTTCGAGTAAGTCCATCTGTGAGTAATTCAAATCAGTAAATGATAGCCATATTACTGAATTTAATGTTTGTAAAGTCCAAAAATTATTGATTTTTGTCTTCAAATTTTTCTAGACATTAGTAATACAAGTAAACAATTTCCCAGACGTCTAATTGAATGGATTTTTGTATAACATTGAACTAATTAGTTTAGAAATAGAAATCGTCTGCTATATGAGCTGGTCAGCTTATTGAATGAGGGTTGGCAGAGACCCAAAATAATACGTTACTAGTAACGTGTCTTGTATTGACGGAAATTAGAACAATTGACATTTTTTAATGCTACACCATCGAGTTAAAATGAAAATATAAAAAAGTGTGTAGATTTCCAAGCGCCAATAGTCTAATAGTCAATGGTTGTAATTACCGATTTAACGGTTGTGGGTTCGAATCTTGGTATTTAACTATGCCTGTGGACCATTTCCTTTAACAAACTTAGAGGTCAATTAAAATGGTTTCATTAAAAGTTAGTAAATTAAGAAAAAACTTAAATAAAAGAAGAAATATGATTACTTAAATGTTTAATGAAAAAAAATATAAATGTTACACTAAAAACTGAACTATCGTACAACTACTTAGTCTTGCTTTCTTATGAGCTAGCTTTTGCCCGCGACTCCGTCCGCGTGGAATTGAAAAAAAAACTGAGTAGCCTATGTGTTCTTCAGACTATTCTCTACATCTATGCCAAATTTCATCGAAATCCGTTTAGCTGTTTAGGCTACAAACTGTAACAAACATCCATCCATCTAAACTTTCGCATTTCATATTAGTTTTTTTTTTATAACATAAGATGGCAAACGAGCAAGCGGCCATCTGAATCCGCCAAAATGGCGAAGCGACCGTTGCCCATAGATATCTGCAATTGCAGATGCGTCGCCTACCCTTATCCGACGGAGGAGGAGACGCACATAAAGAGGATTTTTCCTCTTCATATGCATCTCCTCCATCGTCAAATCCCCTTCCCCTTCCCATCCTCTCATAAGGAAAGGGTGGTAAGAGAAAGGGACTTAAATAGGCCTCCGGCACCACACTCATCAGACGAAACACGGCATTGGTTCCATTTCACGCCTGTCTTCTGTGTGGTCGTGGTATTAGACAGAGCGTGCCGGCCCATTCGTGCTAAGATGTTAAAGCGGGCACTACCACTGTTAGTATGGTTCGCACTATACGATTTTTAGTTGTCATTAGCACGACAGTTGTGTATATTGTGTGTATTGTCTTTGTGTTAAAATATTGGATCTAAATAAATTTGACAAGTTATGTATTTCCATTATAAGTATAGTAAACAAATGGTATTATGTAGGGCTGATAGACTATATCACAGTCTGGATGGAGCGGAAATTGATTCCCGGCCAATTAATGTACGGCTCAGTAAAGGTACATCCTGTTACCGAGACTAGGGTGTCTCTGAGGTACTGTTACGACGGACACTTCCATTATCAAAATACAATCAATTTAAATAATGAATATAAAGGCAATGCAACTTTTAAACAGTATGACTAAATGGGAATAATGCAAAGATTTCTTAAACTTGCCAATAATCAAGAAAACGAAATTCAACAGAAAGCAAATGTCTCTTTACCAAAAGCCTTTTTCCTGCAGATTGACATTAAAAAAAATGTTGTTGTAAGCATTCAAAGTCTTTAATATTTTCCAGGTTCTTTTAGAAACGCATTTTATTCTGAAATCTCAGTTACTTTTTTACATTTGACACGATTATAATCTATTACAGGCAGTATCTATCGATGCCCATGATACAGGCATTGCCTAGTGTGGGCATCACCAGATTAATCGTATATTAACCACAATTTGTAAGCTTTTAGTTGGTATAACTGTTATTGTAATTGTTAATGTCTTATTTTTCAATAAAATTAATTCTATTTCTATTTTCTATTTCTATCTATTATTTATTAATCCTTCCTATTAATCCACAATAGTAATAGTTTATAAACGTGTCCGTACTTCATACAAAACATGGTAACCATAGTCAGTCCGCGCTAATTTGTTTACATCCGCCATTTCCCAACCCCGACCTCCCTCAGGGCGGTGTGATTCAATTTTCGCGTGATCCGCTCGCTTATGTAAATATGATGTGGTTACTGTTCGAACTTTATAAAAGAAATATAGCTTTATGCCATGTTTATTTTTCTGGGCTGTGAAAAAGAATCTTATTAACCAGGTAAATAAAGTCTTAAATAAAACATCAACATCCGGAGAGAGTTCCATTTGACACAATCCTGGCATAAAATAACAAACGGAGACTTTTCATCTCAATATAAAAACAAAAGATACAGTTTCTAATATAATTTTAAACTTTAAAAAAATACTAAATTCGTGTAAAGCAGGGTGTAAAGTGTTCCATTTTCGTGTAATCAGTCACAGTTGTAGTTCAAAGAACTGGCATTTGGTTGTTTGTCCGCGTTTGGTGGCGCTGCGATCTCTAGCTGACGTCACTTTATGCTTTTTTAATTTTTAAAAAGGCAAGAGATATAAGTCCAGTCATCCCTTTATCTCCCTAAGCATTTATAAACTACGTACGTGTGTTTTGAGGTTAATTGTTAAAGTTTATTCTCGTTAATTATTAACCGAACACATGGTTATACACAAAACTTAACAAAATTTAATTATAAAGTTACTGACTCATTTCCTACCCGACGTGCGTTGGGAAATGAGTCGTCCTTAATATTTGGTAGCGTAGAGCTTACCCCTTGCGCCCTTTGTTATCGTTAATTATCAAACAGTACCTTGATAATATAAATAATGGATTAGGAACTTCGAACTTGGATCAAAAGCGTATATAATGACAATTACTCGGATGTAAAAACTATGTTCGATGAGGTTAGATTTCGTAATGAGATAGACGGCTTTTAAGGTTATTTTCTTTAATGAAAAGCGGCGAAAATATAGAAAAGAAATACAATAATAAATATAAAATTTCATCGTTTTAACATTTATAGAAATGTGAACTACTAAAGGGCATAAGTAACGACCTTTCCGATACCGAATTGAACATTTATTATTTAAATATTTGGTATTATTCTGACATTTACTGTAATTCTATTTGTAGAAATAGTTATTTAATATAATCCAAAAAAACTTATTAACGCAATAAAAAAAACATTTGCGTTGCCACTCTATAATATAGGTTAGGTTTAGTGCTGGGGGCAGCTACTATTATATACTATACTGTATTTATTTTTTAAACGTTTTGATTCTCCATTTCAAACAAGATAACACTAAGAAAATCAAAGCTGTAATAACTAATTATCACAGATTATCAATCAATAGTATTCTTTATTCAATAATTAATTAATGTATTGGAAATAGAATAAATCATCCGTAAGTATGGCATTTCGGGTGTGACCTTTTGCTCATTTTCATTAAAAATAAATAACATCCGGCGTCGTGTGCGCTCGCCGCCATTTTGAATTATCGAGTAAATCATTTATTCACGTAACAATAGTTCGCTTGATATGAAATTAACAAATCTTTTGTTATAAATACAAAGAAAATAGGACCAAATGAAGAAGACTCCATTGAAATCTAAGCTATAGAGGATCTGGGTTATCCCCTCTCTTTTAATTATTTATTCTGAGAGACAGAAAGAGTTTTATAGTTCACACTTCAATTGTTTCATCCTGCATTTTAATGATAATCCAAACTGTATTTATTTCAGACTAGTCGTTGCTCACGATTTCGTTCGCATGAAATAAAAAAATAACTCTATGTTACTGATAACATAGCTTTTTAATGGTGAAAGAGTTATTTCAATACATAAAAATATACAAATCATTCCTCTTTACATATTAGTTTAGTTTAGCTGCTCCTCGCGACTTCGCCCGTGTGAAAAAAATAACAATAAAAAACATAGTCTGTGACTGATTGATAACGTAGCCTTTTAATGGTGAAAGAATTTAAAATCGGCCCAGTAGTTTTTGAGTTATTTCAATACATACAAAAATACAAATCTTTCCTCTTTATAATATTAGTTAGTATAGATAAAGATAATAATTTGTACATTTATTTATTTTGTTCGCAGACATAGGATGGACATCCGCCGGCCGACATGTGCCCTCGCTGTACTTCTCGTCTTCTGTTTGACAGAACTTGCGCAGTAAGTCAATTACTCTAGATAATAAGATATAAACCTTAGGCCACTATACGACCTAATCCTAGTCGCATACACATACGATAAGATCTTTTCCCTTGTTGCCACCCAACTTAAAGAATTAGTCGTAATATCTCATTTCCATTTAAAGGAGGTTTGGATATAAAAACTTTTTAGAAATAATTTAGCCATCTGTAAATACAGTACTGGCCAGTTTTAAAATAATATTCCTCATTGAATGAACATCGTAAAGTACTGGCAACTTTGAAGTGCCACTTTTGACCTTTTTCGTTGCGAATAGTAAATATTATTTTTATATTTAGAGCAGTTTGTAGTTTATAATTAGCTTGAGAGCTCTCTTAGAACTGATGCTGGGACTTTTTAAGAGTCGTTTTAAAATTAGAGCGAGTTACTTAACGTCTAAGGAGAAGGTATGTTTGAGAAGAAATCATAAATTTTAAACTGCAAAGGAAACTAGTTGGTTAATTCAGAAATGCGAGAAATATTTTTTTTGAAACAAAAGCGAATTTACTTTTTATTATACGATAATCTTTTTTATTTTTTAGCGGTTATGAGTTATTTTGCTGTGTAATAAACATATTTCTGTTCGGTTCAATGAATTATTAGGTACTAAAATAAATGTCTACCTCGTGTGTCATGAAGCAAAGGAATGTCTTGGAAAAATGAACTGACAGTTGTATTTAAAACAAAAGACAGATATACATAAATCATCTTTGTAATTGATGTAATGTAGTTACGTTAATTCTGATTAGAAGTTTGCCTAACTATGGGTTTTCACTTGTATCTAAACATTTTCTTAAAAACGTAACCATTTTGATACAAAGTTTTATAGTAGAGAAATTTCGGGGTAAAATAATTTAGTTTGAATTTTGAATTGTTCCAGAACTTTCGAGCATCGTAATTAGAGTGTGAATGCTAAAAATATATTTTTTTAATTTAATTAACTACTCCACAACTTAAATAGAAAGTAGGCGATGTTACCCGTTGCATTTTTACTTATTAAATAAAGTGGGGTTATCATATTTCAAACGAGTATTTTTTCTGGAATATGAGATTCGAAATGCGTTATAACTCGACTATTACTTCAAAACATGTGGTAAATGAGTCACTACGTAGGTAGATAAATTTAGCAAAACTACGAACACGTGTGTTTTATTTTGAATAGCATTCCGCATACTTAGAATTGCATTAGAAATATTTGTATCATTTTAATACCGTTTTATCTCAATGTCTAGACGAAAATCTACATTTGACTGGCAACTAGCTTGTGTACATTCAATTTCAAGTGAACAAGATCCTTGTTCTTATAGATGCATGAACGCAAAGATAAACTTCAGGGAGAAGGAGAAACAGATCCTCGATCAAATCCTCGGTCCTGGCCGCTACGACGCTCGCATCCGACCTTCCGGCATCAATGGAACTGGTAAGTCTAATAATTAACTATTAAAATACAAATAAATCACGTATTTATAATAATAGAAAGAGTTAACACTACTAAATAGTAAGGTAATTTATAGGTATGACAACATTTATAACCAAGATGGCGGACGTCACTGTCAAAACTAACCTATAAATTTTAATAGTGCTATAAATAGCATATTAATTGTGATGTTTAACACTTGTAAATAAGAAATGCTTTTCACAGCCTGGCTACAAAGTTATCACTAACGTATATGTAAATACAATACAAATGCTTTGTGAACGATGGTTAAACATATAAACGTTGTTTAAATTACCCGTTATGTTCTACTATTTGCGTTATTTAGAAAACAGGTAAAAAATTACATTACTATTTAAAACAACAAAGAAATAATTTTAATTTCTTTGATAAAACAATAATTTAGTATAGACATTTGAGGCGAACACGACATTTTTATAATAAAGGGAATACGTACAATTAAAATGGTTTATTTGAATAGTTTGTAATTTTTATTAAAAATGTCTTACGTAATGTCCAAGGAAAATAAACCAAGACAATATTTCACACATCATCTTCAATAAAGTATTGTTAGAGTTAAGTAAAAAATTGGCTTACGCCTTAGCATGGACCAATTTGGTTAAGTGAGTTGGTTCTGAGGTGCGTTACACACTGAATATAGTGGGTTATTACTTGTGTTAACGTCCAATTTTTTTATTGACTTATTACCTTACTTGAAGGTCGAAGACCTGTGATTTCTAATAGTTTTTTGAATTATTTCTAGTTCTAAGATACTCAAACACAATAAACAGTGATAAATGATTTACCATTTTAAATCTGTGGCCTCAATTGTTGATTTATTATAATCTATAATATTCGTTTATAAAATACAAAATATAATTATCCCGCCATAAACATCTACAGACTAAAATTCTGACTACAAACACTGGTGAAAACGTCACATTTATTGATTTAGTTGGTAAGGGTTTTTGAAATATTTCGACAGATGGTCCTGCTGTAGTAAATATAAACCTGTTCGTCAGAAGTATTACCACCATTAGCGACATAAAGATGGTTAGTACACAGGAGTGAAACGATTCAGATAGGTAGACGACGTTATTACAGCTTTAGGAGGAGCGACCATCGACAACAGTTCATTTTTAGTGTTTTATTTTTTTGATATAGCAACACAAAGAGTGAGCTGTTATAAGATGGCGCAAAAACTCCCTCCCATGTGCTCGATTTATTAACATTAGTGACAGGAGTTTAGAAATAGGGGATCTAAAAACAAAAAAAAGTATTTAACAGAACGTAAAAAACACGATTGGCGTTATAGTTAAGTCTCTGAAGTAAAAGTTGTATTTGTCACTATAGTTAATATATTAAAAAACATTGTAGTAAACAGTAGGAATTTAAATGTCTCCCGTTGTTTTAATTTGCCTAAGCGATTGTGCGTTCTCGAACTTTTAAGACGTAATTGACATATCTCGAAATGTTGCCAGTTTACAGAATTAAAATTTCTACCAAATTTTACGCCTTAAAAGTTGAAATGTGTGTTTCTAGCGAGACCACATGTTTCGGCCTGGTGGATTTAAATTAAAAAAAAAAAATCACCGCTCGAGTGCGGATGTTAAATTTTACCTTAATTAATATCAAGTAGGCCCATAATTAAAAAAATCTTTTAAAATTATAGCAAAGCAAACAATAGAAAAGTATGATAGGCATTAATAGATTTAAAACAATAATCTAATCCCATAAATTCGCTTAATTCAAGGTATCATGAAGGAAACATTAAATAAATCTAATCGAGTCCATCAAAAAAGGTATAATGGCAGCTAATCGAAAAGGGCTGAACACGACAATAGCTGCTGTCGTTCAAATTAGTCAGCAAAAAGCTGTTGCAGCGCTATTAAAAAATCGATACACGATAGCAGCACGCTATTCAAACGATTTGATCTGTTGATTGCTACGATTACAGGAATATTAACAAACTGAAAACTTCATTATACGAAATCTGTAGGAGAATATTCCAATTTCAATCTGCCTAAGTTTTACAGTTTTTTTTTTAATTATTGAGAACAAGCTGACAATTCATCACAAATTATTCTTGATTGTCGATTTTTTTAACGAAGTCGTAACGACCATCCCAATTTTTGTTTTATTAGCATTTTGAGTTAATTGCTAAAACTGAAACACATTTTTTTTATATTCTAGTTTCGTTCTGTAATTGATTCTGAAGGGTTAAGTTGATTTATTTTAGAATTCTCTCTACTTGACAAATTTAAGTATAGAATTACTTAGAAATTTTACGTGTTTTAATCTTTATTAATACTTGCTTCATTTGAAATTCAGAATTAACCTGAATTACTAATCAAAGTACCAACACTTATAAATTTAAAATATAACTTTTTAAATTAGTTTATATTTGTCTTTGCAGCACAAATGACATTCAGATACAAAAGTATCTCTTTATATTTTATATCCAAATGACCTGTAAGGTGTACACTAACACAAATTCCTTAAACAAGTCAAGTTTTGCTTTATTTTCGATACCGAAATTTTCCTTTGCTTTCCCATCAGCGTGTGTTCCCATCAGTGTTCCGTCTAGCGTCACATTGTGTTTAGTTATGTTCGTCCATCGCCTACGCCCACACGACGGGTGACGGTTTACAAATGCTTTAAGTAACATTTTCAGGATAAAGGTGAGTGGACCGTGGACATTTCCAGAAAGCTCGCGTTTAGAGTTGGACATGTCAACTCGTTAGGGCTTAGTTGTAACTTATAATGTTATATCAACCATATATTTTGCTTGGTACTTAGATGGGCCAGCGGTAGTGAGCGTCAATATATTTGTCAGGAGTATTTCAAAAATCGATGATGTCACAATGGTAAGTCTGTAAGTAACGACTGGGCCGCATTAGTCTAAGTTACAGTATGACGATTTTTTTTTTACTTCTTTATAAAGCGGTTGCGGTTTTCTTAACAAGTCAAATGAATGGGCAATTCCCTCCTATTTGCTACGGAGAGATTTACCCGAGTTTATGTCATGTTCGTTTTTTTTGTTTTCTTTTACTTCTTCCCTTTGGTGTTGACGACCAAAATCGTTTTTAGAATCGCGCTTTTTGAAAGACGCCCGTTATTGGATTGGCGAATTAAATTTGAATATTTAACAGTTAGCTTTTTCACCTCAGTCGATACTGTCCGATAGTTTTTACTTCTTGCGCTCGAATATAACCTATTTTTGTTTTTAATTATCATTCTTTTAGACTGCCTGCTTTTACGATCCGGTGGAGTTTTCGATAGTGAAAGGGAATGGTTTTTGTAATGCTATGGTTAATGAAACTAGACGTATCAATAGCTCCGCTCCATTTCATTTGAAGTAATGACATTTGACATTTATCCATCAGCGTACGAACCTGCGGATCGGTAGGAGTTTAGTCTAGATCTAGATTGATTTAGGTCGTAATATTATCATGGAAATACGGTCCTATAATAAACATTGTTTTTTTCTCATAAAGGCGATGCGCCCACGTTAGTGCGTGTCAACATGTTTCTACGATCCATCAGCAAAATAGATGATTACAAAATGGTGAGTGGCTGCACATGACGACGTACAAACAGTACCGATGACATTTTTATTATAAACCAAAGTTGTTCGCATCCTCGTTTAGTTGTTGTGTTGGAAAACTTTGTTTATAATAAAATTGTACATTCCGTTAAAGTGGATATCTGGCAATATTTGCACTGCTAAACATTTTCAAGCTATCGTAAATGTGTTTGTTGTGTTTTTATTTTTTTTTATTAACTTTGTTTTGTTTTATGTTTCTTATTTGGTTCGGTTTATTAGTTTTGTTTACTTTTATTTTATCACTAATAACCCCCTTACGCCCATTTTTCATCCACTTTTATGGTGAATCTTTAATATGAATATTTAAAAGTGGTTGACAAGGCGGTGCGGTGCCTTGGTGTCCTATTGACCGATTAAACTATTTTCCTAATATTAATACATAATGTCTTCGGACAACGGACAGTATATTCTAAAACAATTGGACTGTTTTTTTTTCTTATTTTTATTTTAAAAATTACTTAATAGACTTATTTATTTTATTTTTATTTACTTGAAAAGCACCTAAACAGCAAACGTTACCTGTAAAAACACGCGATGGATTATTGGTACAATGTATATAGCACAAAAATAACACCAACGGCTTAGTTATTGGCAGCACTTGAAGTGTAGACGAACAAAATTTCATCACGTAATTACTTCCGGCGCTACGAAGCGCTACGGCCCGCTACGGCGCGCTACGGCACCCCGTGAGCCCGCTTGGACTAGGCGCGCGGCCCGCACCACATCATTTCATCTTATTTTATGTTCCGTATTTTAATTTCCCTGTCATGCTTCCTTTTTCTGTCACGCATTAATTTCATTGAGGAGTTTTTGTTATTTTGTGAATTATAAAAACTATTTTGGTCGTGTACGTTGACTGTAACGATGTCTATATTGTCTTGTTCATGTGAATTTGTGTTGTGTATAAATAAATCTATATCGGGTGAAAGCGTCCGCACTCGGCTTGGTGCTTCGCGGTGGGCCACCTGACCGCAATATGTGATCCCTGGCGCTAGTAGTAGTCCTAGCTAGTTGTGACCTCGGCTCTGCATGCCGGTACTAAGCATTCCACCGACGAATGCGCCATACGGTGAGTTCTCTGTCGAGTTACGCTTCAATAGACGAAGTGCATCGCGCGCGCATGATATTGCTTATCGATTAGTCGATACTATCGATATCTCGAATCAATTTTGGCTTTTGGAATCGATTTTGAACTATACAGGACGCGTTTAGTTAATTAACACGGTTTTTATAGTTATAATCGAACTTCAAGCTAACTCATTAAGTTACTTTAGTAGAAAAGTTACTGTGAATGCTTTATTTTATTAAATTTAATGTACAGATTTATTTATTATCAATTCCAGAGCTTATCTGTTTCATCCAAATGAAAATATTATTACCAAATCACATAACACCTAACCTCAAAATTTCAGTAAGAGAAATTTCATTGCACAAAATTACTCACTAAAATACTTCAATATCGTTTTATATGCACTTTAGTGTAATCTATCACATTATCAAAACATTGTATTTAATATCTACTCTGTTATTTCAAGCAGATATCGATTGAAGTTTATTCCCTGGCGTTGTTCCAAAACAAACCATCATCTCAATAATGAACCTGTCAACATCCATCATACCATCCTGTTTATTTTCGACGAATTAAAAATAATATATTATTAATTGGTTACATTTAAATTAATAATTATAATTAAATAACACAAAGAACTTATAGAACGATTATTTTCAGTCATCGAACTCCTGTCATATGTAAATATGTACATAATGTATGGTTTTTAATTATTTCTTTTTATATAGGACCTAATACTGTCGAAATGATTACAGGCAATTTATAATTTAATTAAGATTTTTATTAATTGTAGATATATGAAGATTTTTTTAAACTAAAATACGAATCGTACTTGGATTATTTATAATATTTTTGCCTCGCTCCAAAAGCTAATTGACACCAATTATTTGAATCGAGATATCGTATGTATTACGAGCGTTGCTTGTTCTGTTTCTTTTTAAATGTTTCCTTAATTCATTTGACTTGCTCTTTTGATGTCGAGGGATCGATGGTACATTTGCCCTGATGTCAAATATATTTAAAAAAATCTAAATGGATACGCTGAACCTTCGACACCATTATAGATGTTACTTTTAAGCTTAGTTAAAATTCGTAGTGTTGTACTCTTATTGTCATTACACTCTGACATGACAATTTTCTCTAATTGTCATGATTCTAATCGTAAAACAATTTTCAAAAACTTAAAAATAAAAGGCCTTCCGATTGTTAACTTACCATTATTCAATTCCATTACAAAAACACTAGTAACTAATATTATCGAAATAGTAAATTTGAATAAATAATTACTTAAATGGCTTTTTAGAAATCTTGCTAAAGTAAAGCTTTAAAATAAATTCAAATTCCAAACAGTTTTAGAAAGAATTAGAAAAGTAGTGTTGGGACGTTACTCAAATTTAAATCGATATCGATAGAAATATCTATTAAAATAATGTCGATTTAAAATTTAAGTAACAGTTCTGAATTTCTTTTAAAAGCAAACTTGTATAATATTGTAAAATTTTCAGGAATATTCAGTGCAATTAACATTCAGGGAACAGTGGTTGGATGAAAGGCTGAAGTTTAATAACTTAGGAGGTTAGTAACTTAACAGATACGCTATCTTAAAAGTAAGCAAAAGTTAAATAACATTTAAGTAATTTATTACACGTATAACGTAACACGTTACTTCTATCTCTGTCAGGACGTCTCAAGTACCTGACCTTGACGGAGGCGAACAGGGTGTGGATGCCTGATCTATTCTTCTCTAATGAGAAGGAGGGTCACTTCCATAACATCATCATGCCCAACGTATACATCCGTATCTTCCCCAACGGCAACGTGCTGTACAGCATTCGGATCTCGCTGACCCTCTCCTGCCCTATGAACCTCAAGCTTTACCCACTTGATAAGCAGACCTGCTCCCTGAGGATGGCTAGCTGTAAGTAAACTTATTCAGACAAGAGAAGATAAGAAAGAATTCGTTTGTCTCTTCACTACTAAATTATAGAAGCAAACATCAGAATAGCAACGTTTAAAAACACACCAGAATCATTTCGAGTGGAGTAAAAAAACATTTTAACAATTCCAAGGTAAAATTTGATTATCTTAACGATTTCTATTTTGAATCTTTGCTAATGTGTAAGTAGATCGGTTTTTATTTATGGAATATAAACAATGTTGCCATGTGTTTTGAGTTTTACCACATTATTGCTCATATTTGATACTATTTTTAGAGAAATACTCTAATATCTTTGCTATTTACAGCAAAGTGTTTTATGTATACTGATAGGAGAGATTAGGTTAATTTTGAATTTGTTCGCATCACTATATTTACTTCATCGTAAGTGGGTGCTTTAATATGTTAATTTGTCCCAGATGGCTGGACGACTGATGACCTGGTGTTCCTGTGGAAGGAAGGTGACCCTGTCCAGGTGGTGAAGAATCTACACCTGCCCCGTTTTACGCTGGAGAAGTTCTTAACTGACTATTGTAACAGCAAGACTAATACTGGTAAGTCTTGTTCTCATCTTCTAAACTTTAGAGCAATATTTAACGGTGATTGGTCAAATTTAAAGCATTTGGCATATTACTTCGTACTTCTGTGATCGGAGACTTCTACCTTCTGTGGTATTTTGGATGTTGACATGCAATCATGGCTTTTTCTGATTTTCTAAATTAAATCGTTGTTACACAGGTGAATACAGTTGCCTGAAGGTGGATCTGCTGTTCAAGCGGGAGTTCAGTTACTATCTCATCCAGATTTACATCCCGTGCTGCATGCTCGTCATCGTCTCCTGGGTCTCCTTCTGGCTCGACCAGGGCGCTGTGCCCGCGCGCGTCTCCCTAGGTATATTCAACATTACACTTAGTTTAAAATCACCCCCAGGTTATGATTGTTGCCTTCTTTCCTATTGTTTTACACCTAACAACCCATGATATTTTAAATCTAGAACCTTAAAATACATGTATTTATTTCGTTGTTGTTTTTTTTTTTCTATTTAGGAGTAACAACGCTCTTGACAATGGCGACTCAATCGTCCGGCATCAACGCCTCTCTGCCGCCCGTCTCCTACACTAAGGCTATCGACGTGTGGACCGGCGTCTGCTTGACGTTCGTCTTCGGGGCGCTGCTGGAGTTCGCTCTCGTCAACTACGCGTCCCGCTCTGACATGCACCGCGAGAACCTGAAGAAAACGAGACGGGAGATGGAGGCGGCGGCCAGTATGGATGCGGCGTCTGATCTGCTGGACACTGACAGCAATGCTACATTTGCTATGGTGAGCTCGTGCTTGATCTGGGGAATGCAATAATCTATACTTTTTTCGTCTTTGCCACTATTATTATGATCGCTTTAAAGTTAAACTGTTTTCTAATTTTGAAGTGTGAGACGTCGTTCAATTAGTGTTCTTCCCTCGATGTTTGGAGGTAGTAAAGCGGTCGGATTCTTGTATATTAGGAGTTATTTAATTTTATTAACGAATCATTGAATAGTCATAGTGTTAAGAATGTGAAATGGCTCGATGTATACTGTCGATGCACTGTGTCCGTCCTCCCTGACTGGTCTGCAACCGACAGAAGCCGCTGATGCGCGCCGGCGACTCCAAGATGCGGCAGTGCGAGATCCACATCACCAGCAAGCCCAAGAACTGCTGCCGCCTCTGGATGTCCAAGTTCCCGACGCGCTCCAAGCGCATCGACGTCATCTCGCGCATCACCTTCCCGCTCGTCTTCGCTCTCTTCAACTTGGCCTACTGGTGAGTACTACAGTTGTGATTTTACAGATGTTTTTAGATTTAAAGAAGATTATTCTCTCAATTGTCTATGATGAAAAAGGGAATGAATAGAGTAAGAAGACAACAGCGTACATGTTAACTATAATGTAATTAGACTGAGTACTAACTTCCGCCACAATGGTGGGCTATCCTACCATTTTCTTGAATGACATTGACAGATGTCACGGTGATAGGACATGTATGATGATATAGTGATGCCCCGTTCTTTAGTGTGGTACCGATTTTGTTAACACTATGATGAAGAATGATAGTATTTTCTCGGTCTCGAGCTGTGTTCCACATGTGACGGTGAGATGTGTGTTATCAGGTCGACCTACCTATTCCGCGACGAGGACGAGGAGAAGTGATTCTCGCGCGAAGCGTCGGGCGCGCCGGACGTGGCGCGGCTGGTGAGCGCGGTGCTCGCGCCGTACGCGATGTTCGCGGTCGCGTACTGCGCCTTCCTGCGCCCCCCCGCGCCTCGTCTCACGCCCGCGCACCGCCCTCGCCACCGCCCCCTCCCCGTGCGCCTCACGCGCTCCATGCCCCTCTAGCAACACTCCGGCCCCGCGCGCCTCATGCGCCTCACGCGCTCTACGTCACTTTAGCCCCCGCCCCGCAGCCCGCCCGCGGAGCATCGCCGACGTGCGCTCGTCCCACACAAACACAAAGCATTTACACAAATACATTATAATCTATTACAGTGTCTGATGTCTCCATATTCGCAGGTCAATTCCTTTTCTTATTGAGTGCAATTTTGTCAATATTGCGAACCAACTTTTGACTGACCAGTGACCATCAATAAACAACATTTATAAAATCATAAATCTTAGTTGTTTCTACTAAAATGGTAACTTATTCTTCACTGGTAACACTGAAATATTTAAAGCAGGCAAAATTGCGGTAACGAGACGGAATCGATCTAAGACATCAGCATTATCTGTAGAACATATTTACAGATTATGTAATAATCATACTATCCTACTAATCTAGATATCTACAAGTCTATGTGACTGGAGCACAGTTGAAAATTCAGAATAATATTAATCAAGTAGTATGTAACTAGATGGAGATTTTCGACAACTTTACTGTTCCCGCCGCCGCCGCCGCGGAACGTCTAGCGCATAGAACACCGCTTCAGTAAAACTATTATAAATATTCCATTATTCATAAAATTTAAATTAGAGTACCCGAATTTTTTAATCTATATGTGGTAGATGAGTATCATAAATATATGACATATAATCATCAATGTAGAATAATATGAATAATCCCTCTATGTTTAGATTTTAGACAACATGATATACACTTGCTATAAAGGGTGGTACATATAAAAACAACGCGAAATAATATCTCAAAAAGGAGTATGTACTATCCCTAAATGGCCTAGATACTTTAGCTGTCTTTACACTAAATCGTCTATGAGACAAATGGATTTGTGAAACACATTTTAATCTTTACATGTTTAGATAATAAGTAGATTCTTCAATATTTCACATGGCAACATTGTTTTAAAATTTAACCTCTCGCTGTCTATGGTATTAGTAATTTTTTATCTGTACCCTTATAAATTACCACTATAATCTGTGCCAGTCAGTCCTAATTGAACGCAATTATATAATTTTAAAGCAAATATACTTTTTTTTAATTTTAAAGCAATGTTACAATGGATATCGTAGGTACGAATGATGTGTGTAAATAATCAGGCCTACAACTTTCTACACCTGTGTCGCTCAGTGTACAGTTATTTATATTATGCATAAGATTATCGTAAGATCTTTTAGGCCATTTCGACGTCACACAGCAACCTACCACACTGTAAATAAATTTAACGTTTCCTAACACTTGGAGCATGATTTTGACAGATAACAAATTAAAAATAAAACATGTTACTAAAAAAAGCTACACCATATTCGATCTAAACATTATAAGAACATTATGGCTTTTGGAATCTCAATTGGAAGTTTTGTTAAAATATTGTCATCCCACTCATGATCTTTAAGAATAACAGAGACAAGAGATGTTATGTACACTATGTTTCAATCAGAATCCTGTTCCAAGTCACCACTATCTGTATATTGATGTTTTAAACTATCACATTCGCTATATCTGGTTGTATTAATCGTTGGCAGCTTGATGTTATTTAGTTAACGCTATGTACGGGTTATGTATTACCATGTTGAGTGACCTGATCACTAAGATTACTCAATATAATGGTTTCACTATTGTTATGTTTGTATATTTCTTGCTCAGTTTTCTATTTCCGTCCCTTTATTTTAAATTTAGGTTGTTTATACATATTTGGGAAGAATAGAAACAATTTTAGATTCATATATTCTGTATTGTTAATTAAAATACATGTGGCAACACTTAAGGTAATGTCACATTGAAAAAGCATATAACAATTAACTTAAAGATACAAAACAAAGCTAAAATACATTATAAATCACACAGCCATGTTCAAAATAATATCATAATTTACTTTCAATCACTCCAATCGTTATAAAATTATATAAACTGCAATTTAGATATGTCTCCTTTAGATATTCTTGGGCTGTGATGAGAAATATAGATAAAAAATTCAGTAGATATTTAAACAATTCCGACTAAAACATAGATAAAAACACCAAAGAATAAAAATAATACTGGCAACAAAAAGTTTCTATCCTTTAATTCAGATCCATGATCAGCCAGTGCATCTGAAACACAAATTTAAAAAACAAATTAATTTACAAAGGATTTCGAAATAAATATCTCTTGTATTCAAAATGTTTACTTCAAGCATAAGGTTAAAAAGCCATTTCCTACTTATACATGAAGTTCTGTGAATCGGAACGTAAATTAAAAGGCCATAATGAACCATAAAGATATTTGTTACTTTTTCAAATGTTGCCAGCACTACAAACTTCTAAAATGTATCTCTGTATGTCATGAATTATTGTATTTCTTCATACTATTGTTTTAAGGTCTGGTACGATGTGAAAAGAATTTTAATAAAATTATACCCATCCAAATTCGTTTATTATTTTTATCTTCTAATAAAAAAATAAATCAATGAATTAAAATCAAGAGCTGAAAATGTTTTCAAATGTTGTCGTTATTAAGGGTGCAACTGCAAATGTAATTTTTAGACATCATTTAATTACTTCAATTTAAAAATAAACTACAAAATTAAATTGAAGAGTTGCTTCCTTGTTAAAAAATCTATAAACAAAAAAAAAACCCATAATATTTATACCTAATCATTATACCTTCAGTTTAGGAAACTGTTCTGTACAGCTTAGTTGTTCAGTTGTAATTCACACGTAACTATAACTCAGTTATACTCATATATAAGTGCGTACGAGTACAACTGAGAACTTGTACAGTTTAACTAACTAATCTAATTCATTAGTTGAAGATTTCGCTTTTTATGGCCTGTAATACTAAAAAATACTCAATTTCAGATAATAGACCTTTACATCAATAAACCAGCACTTAATTATGTAATTTAAAAACTCACTTCAAGCATTATTACTCGTTCGGCGTTGTCATTTCTTGATCTCCAGATTTTGGCTCCCAGAATGAAGAGAAGATTAGCTGACCATTTGTCGTAGTTAATATATTTAAACCAAATAAAATGCAAATCATAATACGTTTGTAGGTTTTGAAACCAATGAGTTCCTCCATGTTGGGTTTCGAATGATTCTATTTTGCTGGGCTGTCCCTTTTTATATCGCGAGCAAGACACTTGTAAGGTTTCTGAAGACAAATTAATTGTGAGATGTGATTAAAATTTGTTTTGACATGGAAAACTTCTGTTATTATCTTACTAATATTATAAATGCGAAAGTTTAGATGGATGGATGTTTGTTAGCGTTTGTAGCCTAAACGGCTGAACGGATCTCCATGAAATTTGGCACAGGTTTAGGGCATAGTCTGGAAGAACACATAGGCTACTTTTAATCCCGGGAATAGTTACGGTTCCCATGGGATTTATTAATTTCGTTTTTTAATGTTTACTCGATCATTCTGCAACGGTTTAACATATCATATTGAAATTTGGCACAGATATAAAACAAAGTCTGGAGTACACATGGGATAAGCTTCATCCCCGAGAAATGTCCGGTTCCCGAGGGATACGTAGCTTTTTGTTATTTATGTAGTTCGTATGTTTTCTACTACCACGCAGGCGAAGTCGCGGGCAACAGCTCGTCGTAAATATAGACGAAATACCATGTTGTAAGAATCTGAAGTTATTTCTTTTGACGATATCGATAAGTTGAAAATCGGCAGCGGTACAAACTAGTTATATTGGGACTATATTCCTGTTTCCAACATAAAATTGTCTTGATAAGACATAAAGTTCATACATATAATAGTGTTACGGTAGTAGAAACCTACGTTAAATCGACAGTATAAACAGGAAACTAATAAAAAGTTAGAGTTTAAACATTAATATATGTACTTCTAAGTTAAAATCATGTTTAAATAACAAAAGTCCTCCCAAAAATATCAAAAATTAATTTGTACACGACATTGACCATCAACGAATTTAATCAAAGTCCACTGAAAACTTTCCATTACAGCCTACTCAAATTGCTTTTGCCAACTTACTTAGAAATAAAGATAACACAGAACAAACGGTATAATTGGTCGAGAAGACAAATTAAAATAAGGCTTCCTTCATTTGTCTAACACGTATAAATACTGGAAGCTTTTATCTCAAAGCATCAGACGTCTCCCAGCTTCACAGCTAACAACATTCCTTCAGTTTAGTTTCACAAGTTTGAACCATCAAAATGTACAAGTTCCTCGTCATCTTCTTCTTGGCTGCGTGCATCTGTTTGCTGGCTGAGGCTCAGCTGACATTCACGTCGAGCTGGGGCGGCAAGCGCTCAATGGGCACAATGATGGCCACAATGCCCTGTCGCAATGACGAGGCTATCTCCAATATTTACAAAATGATTCAGGTATGTCCACAATTTGTCTTTTGTACCAATTTCAGTCTTCGTTTAGCGTACAAGCGAACGAAAACTGTAACCTTAGATGGATGACGGATTGGATAGGATTTTAGTTTGGAAATTATGCTCTCTGTTTTTTGCAAATAACGCGAGGGCTTTCAGATGTTGATTGAATAGGTATTTATGTTTGAACACTACCACTTATTAGGTAGGATCTTGGTGAAACGCTATCTAGCGCTTTTTGAAGGAATGTCATTAAATCCTGACAAGTTTTTTGTTACTTTTTCGCAATAATCATAGTATGTAAAGCTAATTTATTATTTAGCTATTTAAGATCTGTTTAAAAGTAAATTGAATCATAAAAATTTCAATTAATAACGACTGTAAAAAGGTTTGATTGAACTATGACGTCATTTTTTCTTAAAAGTGCGTATTCCGTATCACGCAATATCTAATATTTTTACTCTGTAAGCGTATTTTCTTTGTTTTTTTTTCAGGCCGAGGCCGAAAGACTCCTTCTCTGCCAGAAGCCGTGAAGCGCAGCTAAACTACCTTCATATCCAGACATCGGCCATATCATGTAACTTATTCATACACGTTTGCACTAATATAAATATATACTGTTTATTATAAATAAAGCTTTTTAAATAATTGATGCAGTTTTATTTTCTATATTCGTATTTTTTCTCTCTATTTTTAATCTATACTATTATAATAAAAACACACACTTTAACGCACACTTCTTTGTTGCCTAAGATGTCAGCAATTACAGCATATTTTTGAATAATTCTTTTTTTAATAAAAAGCCCTACAATGACGTCACGCTTTAGGCAATATATTTTCACGCCATTAAACTTAGGGGGTAAATATTTACGATAAAAAAACCCTATTGCCATAGTAAGGTAATTGGTATTTTGACATTTGGAATTGAGAATTTGACAAATGCAAACAAATTTATAATTTCATGCGGATGAAGCCGCACGCGAACAGTTAGTACCAAATAATGTAGGTACTAATATCCTCGAATTGGGTCACGAATTAAATAATATATCGTTTTGATTTGCAAATTGGATTACTTTTGAAACTATTTTATTTAATTAAAAAAAAAAAAAACTACTTTTGTGAATTTTGGACCAAATCTTATAAATGAGAAACATTGAATGTATGTTACGTGTAATCGGCTTAAAAGATATTAATGAAATTTGTCATAAATGTAAAATAGTCTGGAAAACATAGGATGCAAAAATTTTTTATATTGTGTGTACGGAGTCGCGGAGGATAGCTAGTCATAAGACACTAATATAAGGTAAAATAAAACGAATACAATTTGATAACAACATTTATTTTAACAAAAAAGAAATAGACGATTTTAGTTGACATTATAAAAGTTTTATTGTTTGAAGTATGATCTTTTTTTGTACAAATCAGATTTTAGATAATAAAAATATTAAGAGCGGACGCACATGTTTGACTAAACTATCGCACAACAGTTGTGCGATTGTCGATTTGCAGTCAATTCAACTGTTTAGCACGACTAAAAATCGAGTAGTGTGACCATGTCCGTATGATCATAGGAATCAAAACGCGACAAAACAGTTGTGCGATGGTTTTGTCAAAGATGTGTACTACAGTTGTTACAGTTGTACTAAATGACAATATATTTATCCTAATTAATTAAATAAAAACATAATTGAAATAAAAAAAATTTTTGGTATTTTTTTTTTCACGACTTTTTTTTCGTTATTCGTTATTGTTATGATCTGTAGTTATTTTTAAAACAATTATCACAATAAAATGTATTAACTTATACAAAAAATAAATAATTTTGTGCATTCTCTTTTACTTATTATGTATTATATTTTAAATTGTGATGAATATTTGATATTTAGAAATACAAAAATTTTCGTTATTTATACGTGTGAAAAAACTTATAGCGTACAAGGAAAAATGTATTTCAACGTATTATTATTATAAAAAATCTTTTAGAATATTCGTACTTTCATAATCATAACAAAACATTTAACAATATACATTTTTTCTTAACCATTTAATATGAATAAAAATAATAAACAACAAAAAGAGATATATTTCTAAATGACATCCAGCTTCTGGAACTCAATTTAAAAAAAAAATCTATAAAAAAATATAAAGACCAAACTACACTAAAACTAAGGAATCCCTATGCCATGCAAATATACGCATTAAGACGATCACAACAACGTATATTTTGAAATGTACACTATATTGTACTAAGTTGTACAGTGAAGGAATTAAATTTGCTTCCCACTAGCAATTATGTTCATTTTTTTTGCATTACACTGAAATGAATAGGAAAAATTCCTTAACTGTGTCTAGACTACGCTAATGGTCTAGGATACGTAGATTTCCTGATACTATTTTGTTCTCTAACAACGCGCCCGATGGGATATCTATCCTGTCTCCGTGGTTCGCTATTATTATTACTGTACCCTGAAAAAAAAAGCAAAATTAAAAAAAAACCTGCCTCGAAGGACCAAAATCGGTTGACTGTAAAGAAATAGTATAATTTAAGCATAACTGCCATAAGTTACTTAACATCTAATCGAACAGCCTTTTAGTGAAGATGTGCAATTTAAAATGTACTAAGGGTAACCTTTAGTGACCAATTAAATAATGTAAATAAGGCATTTAGTGAACGCCTTTAGAACACTAAAATGGTTCTATTACAAATTTAAAAACAATCAATAAGGTAATTAAGTTTATTCCAAAGAATTGACAATTTAAAAGAACACAAACTCACCTTAAGCGAGACTCCTCTTCCAAAGGTAACATCACCGGATACCGTCAAATGGTCTAATTCTATCAGGTCCGGGATCGTAGCGAATCTGTTCAGGAACTCCTTCACTTTCGCGAAATGATTGTCACCCAACTTCACCAGCGGAGTAGACGGGAACATCCTCTGTGGGGACATCACCAGAGACCCGTGCGAAAGACTGTACAAGTTGGACATCACGAGAAGAAGATCCGAGGTCTTTTTGACTGGAAGGAAACGGCTTCTAGGCACATTTACACCGATACCTCCTTCGAAGCATTTCATCGCAGCACCAACTGCGGTCTCCAGTTGTATTACGTTTAATCCATCACCCAAATGCTTATTATTGACTATAATCTCCATATTCAAAGACCCTTGGTCTACTACCCTTTGGATAGCGTCCAACTTTGCCCACAAATTATTGGTGTTGAAGAATTTGAACTGACTGACTGATTTGAAATCATCCACATGTTCTTTCGGAACTTGTGCGATTTCCAGAAGTCTAAGTTTGTCTTCGTATTGGATGAGAGTTCCACCTTTAACGTCAGCTCTGGTCTTATCGGTGACTTCCATGACGAATTCTGGTATCGGTTTCTGAGGGTCAGGGTGGAGGAGGAGGCTGAGGATGTTCAGGTCGACGGTAGCGCCTAAATTATCAATGTTGCTGATGAAGCAGTAAGTCCTGCCTTCTTTGATGAACTTCTGGAGAAGACCGGAGTTGTGGAATGACTCGTAAAAGTCTCCGTGACCAGGGGGATACCACCTATGGTGAAAGTAATTTGATAATTGATTGAGGGCCTGTCCCACCAAATCGTAAATTGTCTGATAAAAATCCAACGTGTAAAATATGTGATGGAAATATCGGATTTTGTTACCTTATCAGTGACGTCATTTTTAAGCTATCTGAGCCATTATCAGCCAGTGGTGGGACAGGCCCTTAGAATCTAAGTTGTTGGGACTAATCGATTCCTGATTTATGAAATCGATTAGTCATTTCTATCAATTAGTACACTCAAGAGCATCAAATCCGGGTCACAACAAAACCAATCTCGTAAACTAAAAATGCTAGCTTAAAGAAATGTATTTACTTTAAAAGACCCCGATTCAATGTCTTGATTTTCATAGATGTTAATGAACTATGGAGTATTTTAGTCATCAAAATAAAAATAATAAAGAGTTTAAGCAGTATATCAGTATAGTTTTCTTATCATAAAGATATTTTAAAGCGGCTTTGAACCGATTTATCTATATCATGACAATTCAAATTATGCACATACAGGTAGGCGTGCCTTTTGCAATCTGACGAAATTATTAACTTATTTAAACATGTATTCCTACAATCTTATCTAAAAAGAATGATGACATCACAACGCCTATGTCTGTTAGATTGAGGTTATCTAAATAATAAAAAATCGATAATTCGTCAGCTGGTCATTATACTAATATTATAAATGCGAAAGTTTATGTTTGTTAGAGTTTGTAGCCTAAACTGCTAAACGTATCTCAATGAAATTTGGCACAAATGTAGATAATAGTCTGGAAGAACATATAGGCTACTGGGTTTTGGTTTTTTTAATACCACGCGGACGGAGTCTCGGGCGAAAGCTAGTTTTTTCATATTTTCAGCAATAAAATGAGACTCTAAGTTTAATTACTGGGCCTGTCTCACTAAATTGTATATTGTCTGATAACAATCGAAAGTGTGATATATGTTTTTTTTTATAACAAGGTGGCAAACGAGCAAGCGGCCACCTGAAGCCGCTAAAATGGCGAAGCGACCGCTGCCCATAGACATCCGCAATTGCAGATGCGTTGCCTACCCTTATACGACGGAGGAGGAGACGCACATAAAGAGGATATTTGCCCTTCCTATGCATCTCCTCCACCGCCAAATCCACTTCAATTGCCATCCTTTCCTTATAAGAAAAGGGTGGTAAAGAGAAAGGGACTTAAATTAGGCCTCCGGCACCACACTCATCAGACGCAACACGGAATTGCTTCCATTTCACGCCTGTCTTCTTTGTGGTCGTGGTATTGCTGGGGCGTGCCCTGCAGCGCTAATATGTTTAAGCGGGCACTACCACTACTATGTGATGGAAATATCGTATTTTGTTACTCTATCTGACAGTAACATCATTTTTTAACTATCTGACCCTCTATCAGCCAGTGACGGGACAGTTAAAGCGTCGATAAGTCAGATGTAATTAAAATTGACCAAGATTATTCGAAATTCACGCACCTTAGCAAATTGATTAAATCGGTAATTATTCATAAACAATACAACCTTCGATTCTATAAGTAATTGGTTATGGTATAACTACATATTGACGGCAAATATAAGTGTTTAGACAGTGAAAGCCTACGTTAATAATTAGTACTATAAACGTCACAAAAATAAGAACAAAAGAACCTTTGATTATTAGGTATCAACAAGCAAGATCGAATTTTGACAGATACGATATTTACATGTATAATCAAGAAAAAAACAAATAGAAAAAAAAATAGAAATAATCATACTAATGTTATAAAAGGGAAACATTTGTATTTTTGTATATATTGAAATAACTCAAAAACTACTGGGCCGATTTCAAAAATTCTTTCGCCATTAAAAAGCTACGTTATCACTGAGTTAGGCTATATTTATTATGTTTTAAATTTCGGACAAAGTCGCGATCAACAGATAACAAATAAAGAAAACAAAATCTACACTTTGAATTCGTACTTACGCTTCAATATCTGAGTGAACATTGCCCTCCTTAGCGACGGGCAACAGCGACTCTCTGTTGATCCGGGGGTGGCAGGACTGGTTGAAGGTGTGGATGTCCAGCTTCAGCCCCTTGTACTTCCTGATCACCTTCTGCGTGTCCTCGTCCGTGTTGAAGGAGTTCATCAACACGAGGGGCACGTTGCATTTGTATGTTTTGTTTAGATGCTACACGAAACAGAAATAGAACAGCATTTTAACAAATTTAGAGAACACAGCATTGACTAAACTATCGCACAACTGTTATGTGATTGTTCGATTCAACTGTTTAGTTGCACGACTAAAAACCGAGTAGTGCGCGCACCTCCATATAAGCTCATCATCAAAGCGAGATTAAACAGTCGTGCGATAGTTCAGTCAAAGGTGTGCTCACGCTCTAATAGAGTATTAAAGTTTACATTTTTTTTAAATTTATCATAACTATCGGTAAATAATAAATATCGTTTCGGTTACATCGATTCACATCACTAATTACGTGACATTGACAGCTGTCAGAATTGAAAATTAACTGTCACAATGAAGAAATCGAAAACTAGTCCGTTTTTAATTATAAATTATACCATCACATATTAAAATAAATAAAATAAGGAAATAGAATATTAAATAATATGGGTACCTCAATTTGCTGCACAGTGAGATCCAAGAAGGTCAGCTCGTTCCTCACTTGTATGACGGACTTGGGACCCTTACAACCCATAGAGGTGCCGAGACCTCCGTTCAGTTTCACCACGACCAACTTGTCCAGCATGTGGTGCACATTGTCCGTGGTGGGCGTCTCCAGGCTCGCGTAATCAATCACAGCACCTTCTGGAAGCTTCTCGATCTTCTCCCATGTTACAGAAGGTCCCTCTAGATAAGAACATTTTAAATTACCAAATATGTCTGTCTGAATGTATAATGTCTGAATTTAAATTTGAAAATATATTTTTTAATGATACTTAAGTATTAATACATACAAATTGACAGCAATACAAGCGGTGAAGCATCAAGCCACTTGCTGCAAATTGGAACGAACAGCAAGTCAATAGCTTTTAAGTGACTCGTATTGGTTTTATGAATTGAAATTGCACTCTATTGGTATACACATTTCTATAACATACTTGCATAGTAAGAGGCAAACGTACTTTTTTTTTCAGGCAAAGGAAATTCTTACGTTCAGCCAGTTATTTAAAAAATAAAAAGTACAGACGCACGTAACTTTTTTTGCAACTTGCATAGGCAAAGGAAATTCTTACATTCTGCCAAAAACAAATGAAATCAAGCAAAAACACAAGTGCAGACGTACAAAACTTTTTTTTATAATAGGCAAAGTGACAAAGGACACTCTTACGTTCTGCCAGATATTAAAAAAGTTAAATATTGCAGACGTACGTAACTTTTTTGACTTATATAGGCAAAGGAAATCCTTACGTTCAGCCAGAAATCTGCTAAATAAGTTCTTGAAGCCTTGGAACTCTTTGAGCATCTGTGGGCGTCTGGTCTCCGGCACGGTGGCCACCAGCCGCTCCAACTCCACTTCAACCCTGGCGAGGGCATCACGTTTTGTCGCCTCCTTGAAGTCTCTCGACCCTGACGGAGTACGCTGGTGACTCCTAATCTGAAGGTCAAAGGGACAAACCTTGTAGATACAAAAGAGTTTTATCAAAATATGTTACGTATAATCTGACGTATTTAATGGTTACTTAATTCTTCCTTTAGTGTAGATTATTAATACTTAATTTACACTAAAGAACTTTGACATTTGTTTTTACATAAAAAATAGCACCTCATGAGACTTATTACGTCTAAAATATTCAAATATTTATATAAAAACTTAATTCTTATAGTAAAAAACGTATACAAACGTATAAAAAAAGATTATTCGAATCGTAATGATGATTTTTAACTGGTAGTCCTTGGCCGGTACGTCAATAGACACAATGAGTAAATGTTCTACTGGACATCGTCTCCACAATGTTATGATTGCAACTACTCTGTGAATTGTTAGAGGTCGAATCGTGTGTACAAACGCACTTTTAAAATATTTGTTTAATATATTACAAAATGTTCATATAAAGACGCAAATGGAATTCAATGACTGTTAAAATTTTTCGTTATTCAAGTCATTAAAACTTTAACTTGATGATAATAATGATTTTTTAAACAATATGAACTGTATTAATAAAAAGTTATATAAAAGTGTTTAACCTTTGGTGGCAGAATTGTTTAAATTATGCAAAATAACTTTTTAATCACATAAAATACGCAAAACGTAAGTACACTTACTTGTAAAACATGCATATTCGTCATAATAAAATTAAAAAAATAATAAATCACGAACAATCAAATTAAGAAACTGAATAATAATTTACACACATCTAAATCATATAAAAACACAGATGAAACTGACAAACAAACAAAACTGCGGGTAGAATTCTATTGACACAGAGTTAAAAATATTTTTTTACTAGAATTGACATATGGAATATAGTTGCTAATTTTTAAGGCCATCAAACAATGTTTTTCAACCTTTCAAATTAGGATTATGTTAAAGTGGTTAATCGAAAGGACATAAAAGATATTGTAATGTTGAAAAAAATCGAAAATATCTCCTTAAATTTGTTATTTTATGTGTTGCGAATATAAAAATCAAAGTGTGTCTAGAAATTAGAATTTAGACTTGTCTAAACGTTTAATTTAGGCATCTACAAAAGAACTAATCTATACATATAATAAAATTGGAGTGTCAGTTTGTAATATCAAAAGAAAAATTCCAGATTACGGGAAGATGATGCATTTGCGTTGTTGATAACGAAAATCGCTTTTAAATATTTTTTTTGTCTGTCTGTTCGCAAGCCGCATGTTCTGGGTAACCTCCAAAACGGCTGGGCCGATTTCGACTGGACTTCCACTGGGGGGTAGCTGACATGGATAAGCATATAGGCTTAGTAGATAGGCTACTTGTTTTTTTAATTCCACGCTGTCAAAATGGCGTAACGCGTGGTAACCTAACGAAGTTTGCAAGCGACAGCTCGTTCACAATAAAATTTAAATGGCTTCGTATGTAATGTTGTGTATTGTTTCCGAACTGGCGGCTGCGCCCGCCGTCAATATGACAGCTGGTTGAATAAACAGTCTGTGCTAAGCAAGCTATCGTTTTACTACTCCCAATACGTAACAGTGGCGACGAGTGCGCGAAATACCCACTTTTTGAAAAAAAAAAAAACCCAAAATGTCAGTAACACATTTTGGTGTTTTATCGTGCTTTGATCATAGTGAACAAACGTGGAAAACGTATAAGGGTCGTATAACGCAGTGGTTCATCGCGAACGACGTGAATCATATAACCGATGCGACGGGAGTTAAACGACGGGCTATATTGCTTAGCGCGCTCACAGAGGGTACATACAAGTTAACAGCTGACTTAGCGCTGCCCAAGGAGCTCCAAGAGGTGCCATATGAAGATATTTTGGGTCTTCTAGATGCTCACTTCACTCCGAAACGTGCTGGATTCGGCGAACGGTATAATTTCTACGCGGCAGTCCAGCATCCCGCGGAATCGTTTACGCAATGGGCGGCTCGACTGCGGGGGCTCTCGGCTAATTGCGGCTTCAACAGCTTAGAAGAAGTTCTTCGAGACCGGTTCATCATGGGAATGCTGCCGGGCTTCGAGAGAGAAGAGATCTTCGGCAATGACCTTAGTGGCCTAACCCTGGTAAGGGCTGTGGAACAAGCCGAGGACATTCGTTGTGCGCGGGCGTTAGCCGCCTGTGCAGCAACCGCGACCAGTGACATCGCCGCGCCTACAGATGTGCTGTGTAAATTCGGACAGTCGAACAAAAGTGAACAAAGTGTGAGTGAGAGTAGGCCGGTTAAGGTGCAGTGTTCCGTGTGCGGGTATTTCAATCACAGGACGTCAGAGTGTCGGTTCTTTAATCATACATGCAAAAAATGTAAACAATCGGGTCACCTCCGGCGTATGTGCAAGAAGGTGAACCTGGTGACGTCAGTTGTTGCGAGCAGGACGGGTGAGAACGACGACGACGGTGAGTTGTATCATATCCGTTCTTTTAGTGGGGAACCTATGGTGGAGTGTGTAATGATAAATGGTGTTCTTTTAAAATTCGAAATTGACAGCGGGTCCGCTGTAACGGTCATTTCCGAAGTTGCTTTTAGGCGGTATTTTCATAAGGTGTCTTTATCTTTGTCAAAGAAACGATTAATGGGATACACGGGCGAACGAATACACTGTTTAGGGGTTATGTATGAGTCACAAATGACGTTTGGCGGCGTCACCCGCGCTATAGACGTATACGTGGTACGTGGCGGGGGCCCGTCACTTCTCGGCAGGGATTTTATCTCAAAGTTTAATTTAGAACTAGCGCCGGTGAAATATTGTGGATCGTCGTCATCGCTTTCAATCGAACAGCTTCAGGCTCGTTTTTCCAAAACGTTCGCGGATACGTTAGGTTCTTTCAAAAAATATACGATAAAGTTATTTTTAAAAGAAAATTCAAAGCCTATTTTCTTTAAAGCGCGTCCTATTGCATTCGCCCTCAGAGAAAAAGTTACTGACGAGTTAAATAGATTAGTAGAATTAGGTGTCCTAAAACCGGTGGACCATTCGGAGTATGCTTCGCCCATCGTTCCAGTACTAAAAAGAAACGGCTCCGTGAGAATATGCGCCGACTACTCGGTTAGTATCAACAAGCAGCTAGTCGTGGAACAATTTCCTCTACCGACTGTACATGAGTTGTTTTCAAAGCTGCACGGCGGCGAACAGTTTACGAAATTGGACTTATCGAGCGCGTACAATCAGCTGTGTCTCGACGAGGAGTCACAGAGGCTGACGTGCATCAACACGCACCGGGGCCTATATCAGTATACGCGGCTCGTATTTGGGTTGGCCTCGGCACCGGCGATATTCCAGCGCGCCATGGAGACCGTATTGTCAGGTTTAGACGGGGTTTTGTGTCTCCTCGACGACATATTAATTACAGGTCGCAATAGGGAGGAGCACTTGACGCGTCTTAGTACCGTTTTGCAAAGGCTAGAGGAAGCGGGGCTAACACTTCAAAAAGAAAAGTGCGAATTTTTTAAAGACGAAATAAATTATTTAGGTTACGTGATTAACAAAAATGGTCTAAAAAAATCGCCTGAAAAAATTAAAGCCATAGTAGATGCACCCAGGCCGACTAATGTTAGTCAGTTACAATCATTTTTGGGGCTAGCAAATTATTATAGGAATTTTGTACCCGGTGCATCCATGATGTTAAGTCCATTGTACGAGCTACTGAAAAAGAATAGTAAATGGAAGTGGACAAAAATTCACTCCGACGCTTTCGTATCGATAAAGAAGTGTCTAGCGTCGGATTCAGTTTTGGCCCATTTCGATCAAAGGGCCAAACTTATCCTAACGGTCGACGCGTCTCCCACCGGCCTCGGGGCGATATTGTCACAAGTGGGAGAAGACGGCGCGGAACG